TTTGAACTGCTGAACTGCTGATCTAGCAGTAGCCTGCAGTGCTGCATTTAACCACTGCACCACCTTGGCTCCTATGACACCAAAATAACGAAATACTCCCAATGACAACATTATACAAACTTTTAACTTTGCAACTTGATGTTGTAGACAAATATGTAACAGCAGGTCACAACACACATTGCATTCCTTGCCCCCACTCCCATTTCTAGGGTGCCTAAGATAAGGACATACTTAATAACCGAGTTATTCACAATGGACTTCAGAAAAGGAGGGCCATGATCCCCAAGTTTACTGAGATGCTTCTCATCATGTCACTTGAGTCAGGATAAGCCTTGTTTTATATTGCAGATGACAATGCAACTTCATTCGTATAAGCTTTGCATACAGATCGTTCAGAGAACTCAAGTGGGACAAAAACTCTACCACTTTATACATGTATTTATCAATATATGCATACACTGTAGTAAGAATCCCTTGAATTCTACAGGAGGAAATCTGAGGAATTAGATAGTACCTTATCTTGGCCACAGCGCCCAATTGTTGTTGTGCCTGGATCAGGTAGCTCAACTGCTTTTGGAGTGCCATATCTTTACCATGGGCCTGTCGGATGAAGGGATGTTCTAAAAGATGCGTGACTGATGGACGTTTTTCAAAATCCTTAATTAGACACCTGAAAAATACAATGATCGGATTATTCAGATAGATACACATAGATCTGGTACAAATTTTTACCACCCGTCTAGTTATATACTAAATTTTGGATCGTAGGCAATTTTTGCATATGTATTGGACTGCCAATATGGCAATTATAGCTATATATTGGACTGCCTTGTATGCGAGAATAAATCTGACTTATTAGTTTATCCCAATAATATCATTAATGTTACATATTTCAACATTAAAGGTAAAAATGCAAATCTGCTAATTAGTTGACTTTAATGGACAGCACATTCATTTGCTCTACAATGACAGTTTATTCTAAATTTGCAAATCCTCATATTTATTTTTAAAAAGATCATATAGCCACCCACCTTGTACCAAACTCTGTAACTTCTTCACACATAGAAATATAATTTAACCAAACTGGTTATGAAAAAAAATAGTAACTTACCTAGATAGTTAGGCAACAAAAATAATCCATTTCAAAAATTCAACAAATGATCATCATTAATTGTAAACGTTACAGTGTTCTATCTTTACAGGTCATCTAAATAATATATTTTATTAAATTACCAAAGGCAAAGGATACTTACGTCACCAAATTCAGCTTCTATCATTATTAAAGAATATAAACATATAATTCCTACAATAATCCCATCAGTAATATCTGTCGGTGAGCGGAACTTCCATATTTTTGATTTCCTTGAAAAAATCAATTTCAGGGCTCTTCTGAATATTTCAAGAACAAACCGCCTGGGGAAATGTTGTCTTTTACAAATGCTCATGAGATACTGCCCCTCTTGGACCTGGAGCCTCCTGATATAAAAACTAAAACAATAAAACCTACTATCTAAAATCTAGCCGCCTCCGCAGAGATTTAAATACCACTCACAGCCTCCAATAAAAATAAATCCATCATCTGTTTTTTATGGTTCTGGTTCCTTTTGTTTCTCTAATCATGTTTTTTTTTTAATTTCTATGTCAGTGTGCTCCAGGATTTTTTAAAAAAAATGCTCATCAATCTCTAGCAATATATAACCTATCTTGTAGTAAACCTGGTAAAATTAGTATATTTTACTTCTAAGTTTTTTAAAAAAGTATAAAAGTGTTTTTAAATGCTTCATTTATAATGAAATTATTGATGATTCATGGCAGATCATTACAAGTAAACTGAATTCATTAGGAAAATATTGTATATACATTTACATGACTCACCTCTGTAAACTGGCTGGAATTTCAAGGCTGACTCTGCTTTGGAAATGCTTCCAGCCTATGATTCTGTGATGGAAAGGAAATAATCTCTATACCATAGTCACCCTGTTGCCTTTCCTTCACCATCCAAAGAACTCCCTCTAGTGGGACCCTCGAGATGAGCCTTTTCTGCCATCCACCATTTGGGACACCATTCCCCTGAACTGAGATTAAACCGAATGCTAGTGGATTTTCAGAAATATCTTAAAACGTGTCTTTTTTTTTTTAAAGCAGGCTAGGGAATCCCTGAGTTTTAGGGAGCATGCAAGATGGTTCTGCTATATATGAAATGTTGGAGCATTCTCTCATGATCTTTATATTTTATATTAATTGTTTGTCATGATTATTTAAGACTAGCTGGATACCTGTGCTCTGTTACAAAACTATGTGATTGGGCTTGACAAATCAACACTTACAGCTTGAAAATTAATGAGTAGTTACGATCGGCCTCTCCCCTCCTCTTCTCTCCCTCAGGCTTGCCCACAGAGGACTCTCGTATCTTATTCCTTTCTCTCCCTCAATCTAACTCCTTAGCATCAGAGCATTTTTCAGGTGGGGAGGGGTGGATAGAATGTCTAAACTCCCAGCCTGAAGGCTGGATGAGTCACATTCTGGCCATGCCCTAGTGGCAGTTGGGATAGAATTCTTTTCAGGTGGGGAAGGGGAGTAGAACATCTAACTCCTTAGCATCGGAGTGTGTTAATAATAATATAAGAAATACTAATGATCTGATGGTCATTTTGAAAAATCCTTTCTTAGCAAGCACCTAGAAGCTAAGAAGAACATACGTGCCAAATTTCAATTTTAAGTTTGTAGGCTTTAAGGTTCTGGAGATTTCATGATGATGCGTGAGTGGTATTTCACACACACACACACACACACACACACACACACACACACACACACACACATATATATGAATATATATGTTTTAACTATTTGCTTTATTGTATGCCATGCAGAGTCACGTCTGAGAGATCAGTGGCTATGTAAAATAAATAGAACATGTCTCAGTTCATCTGTAAAGCAATCCATTGGTCCTAACTATATGATAAATCATTTGATGGGGGTTGCAACTTTTTGGCAGTAATCCACCAGTCAATGCTAGTTGCATACAAGTGATAAATATCAATATCAGTGGATCCAGAAAAACTTTATGGCTTAGAGGAATAGGAAAAGCTTACAGGAAACCTCTAAAAATAACCTCCCCCCGCCCCAAGACTAAACAGAACTGGTTAGTCACTCCAAAAACCTGACTCTTAGAATGAAGACCCATAGGGATGAGAATGAAAGGGAGAATCCTGAAAAAAAGGAAAGGGCTAGCTAGGTGGTTGGCACAATAAATTTGCTCTTATAGGTCTGATTTTTTTATTACATAAATAAATACATATCTTAGGTGACCAGATGTCAAAGATAACAAACTAGGAATGGTTATTGCCATTATGATTAGTTGTCCCTATTCTGTAATTGTCTTGCTGTCAATTGCCCAGGAAATCAGGAAATTAAGGCAGTTCAAACGAGTATAAAGATTTAGTGCAAGCTTAAGCTCTTCACAAGAATCTGGCCAACTGACCTTTAAGAGAAATGCAGAAAAGATAAGAGAGGCATTCAAGGTGGACCAGACTTCGATCTCTTGCTGATGTGAAGGGACTCATGACTTATGACACGTTTGATCTCTCCCTCGGGCTCAGCCTGCTCATCTCCTACATTTGCTTCCTGAATATAGTCGGCAACGACTAGTGGAGTAAAATCCACAGGAACTCCTTTACCTTTTTTTAACCTGAATATAAAACTTGCAGCTTGCATTTCCAATTTCCATTAAATAACCAGTTTTTGTACAGCCCTGAAATTGCCCAATTCAAAATGATGGAATCTTTGCTTCTAAATAGAAGCTTCCTCATTCTTATTAGTCTTACAAGAAAATGAATATGATAACTAGCTGTCACAACTTGGTGAAATAGTTTATTAAACTAGCAGCTGCATAATTAAATAACCCCAATGTAAAAAGCAAACCAAGTCCCTGAACAGAGAACATTAGATTTCAAGGAACATAGTTCCAGTACACTTTCTTACTCATAGGTCACCAACACCCTGATATGGCATGGTGCAGGACAATTTTCATTATATGTTCTAGCACTTGTATATGCTGGTTATTAGTTATCTAGTTAAAAGTTAGGCTCTGCCTCCTTTGTCTCAAAATATGTTGGACTTTTAAAAAAATGAAAATTATAAATTAAATTAAATTATTTCAATTTAAGGATTTGTTTGCTGTTATCATGGGCATCAATAATATAGAATTAGAATGAGGTTCAGCAAAATAGCAACATACTTTAGAGCCAAAGTCTGAGAACCTCCATAATATGTTATTGAAAATTCAGATTTGCCCACCAGCCTCAAGTGCCTTCTTTAAGTGCAGGTTATTTGTGGGATTGCCTCTGCTTTAGAGCCACATATTAGAGTTCATAATTGACGACTAACATCTCAATATAGAATGTGCACATGCTTTTGGATGAGTTATTTCAGGGATCTTTTTGTTTATTTTTGGCTTACTGGAAGCTGCTCAGAGTTGTAATGTGCAAGCTGGGCAGCTATATAATTTTTTATAATAATAAGTAAAGTATTTTGTTTCTTGGTGTAGGCTTGCCAATCTGCACAGAAATTGTAAAAGGCCCATGATTGTGAAAGGCCAATGAATCAAAGCTTATATAAATCAAAAAAACACGGGAAACTTCTTATAAAGGTTTTGTAAAGCAAGAGAAAAGTGCAAGGAACAGCAATTCTATGTTGTTGTCCTCAAGTTTCTTGACAAGAGCCAAATGCATAGTTTCTCATCATTGATTTTCCTGCCTATGTAGTCCTCTTCCACAGAATTTAGTAGAGATCATTAGAGTGAGGGGGAAACCCCAGTTTCCTGGTTTTGTTTAATTCAGTCCCATTGCAGTGAAATTGTTGGAAATGTTCTGTGGAGCCTGTCTTGCTGTCACAGGCTGTTCAAGACTTTCTAAGAAACTTTGAAATAAAGGAAACTGTTTCTTTCCGCTTGGATTCTGCAGCATATTTCAGTGGTGTGAAATAACTTGACTTGGAAGCAGTAGTTGCCATTTGTAGCTGGATGTTTCCTACTAAACACAAGGTCACCAATCTCTGCTTATAATAACATGGACTTCTTTTCCAGCATAAAGCTACTTTGGAGTAGCTTATGTTGCAGGAAGATAGTTGTATCTTTTCCAAAAAATACTATCCTCAAGTTAACAGAATAACAGAATGACAGAGGGACCTTGGTGGTCTTCTAGTCCAACTGCTTGCCCCATAAAGACAATTTATGTGGGAGGGCTTAATGAAATTTTGGGGTGGGGGAGTGGGGGGGAATGCAGATAATCAAAATATATGGTTCCAAACTTTTTCTTTGTTTATGGCATTTCATCAGAGAATAATCACTTGAGAGCTAAAGATTATAAGAACAATCCTGCTAGTTTAAGTGAAAAATCCATCTAGACTATAATTTTCTTTTACTTAAAACTGCAGTCTAAGGCAATATTTTCTCCTCTAATTCAATTGACAGTCAAAAGCATTCTGTTCCATGGCGTGTGTAATGAAGCCTAATGTAATCCAGGCGACATTGTTATGAAGCAGTTCTCATATTGCTATTCATATGCTGTACAGCGGATCCAACAATATAAGTATATACCGCTTCACAGTGCTTTGCAGCCCTCTCTAAGCGGTTTACAGAGTCAGCATGTTGCCCCCAACAATCTGGGT